AACAACTATAAAAGATATACATGGGGCAATTAGGTAAATGTGAATAGAAAGATTATATTATGGTATTACTGTTAACATTGTTAGATATTGAAATAATTGTGATTATTTCGGAGAATGTCCTTTCCTTAGGACATGAACGTTAAAATGATTATGGGTAAAGTGTTATAATGTCTGTAACTTAATTTCAAATGATATAATCAAAGTGTGTGTGTATATATATATATATATATATGCACTTATAGGCAAGTAAAGCAAATATGGTCAATTACTCACAATTATTGAATCAAGAAACATAATATATGAATATTTATGCTAGTCTTCTTTGATTTTTTCCATGTGTTTGGAATTTTTCAAAATAAAAATTTGAAGAAAAAATGGGATAATATAATCTACCATATTATGTACACATGAGGATAATATATTTTTTTACCTATTCCTCTAAAAAAATCCATCTACTATAACTGGAAGAGATGACTCTTCTTCTAAATATCTTTTGTTTAAAACTGGCACATAGTAATTAATGAATTATTTTTTAATAAAATGGGCAAAAATTCTTTTACTTTTTGATAGCAAATGCATGTGTGCTCACAAATGTATTGTGAAAAGATTTATATATGACAAATATAGGTAAAATGATCTTAAAACAAATATTAAGTGCAGCGTGATATTAAAAGAATACCTTGCAATAGCCAAGTAATTGATACCAGGATGGGAGGTATAGGGCAATGTGATAATATCCATTGATATAATTTATCACTTCAACATATTGAAGAATAAAAATATAGTAAAATAAATAGAAACTAATAAGATGAACAGACATTCTTACAGAAAAACAAACAAAAGTTTAAAAAGTATTTCTGTTATGCTACGTATAACAAATTCTTTCTCATGATGACTGTCAGGAAATTTATTATTATACTATTAAGTTATGGAAGTCAACTTCCAAAGTTTCAACTATGATGCATAAAGGGCATTTTATAGAATTTAAGATCTTTTCTTTTTCTTGATTGAATCTGTTTAAGGCTAACAAGAAATTTAACATAAGTAGTATTTGCTGAAAGACAGACATCATAATTAATGGTGCGACGTTCATATTATAGACAGTCTCAGGGCAAGAATGACTGCTATCACAACCATTACATAACATTAACTAACATATACAGCAGTTAGAATTTCTAACAAATGTAATATCATAAGAAAAGAAGCAGCTGTGAACATTTATTTCAAGTGAAGAAACGACATTTCACTTTTATAAGGAATACGATTGCTTAATTTTGGAAATTGAAGACAGCCAAGTATTTTAACCAAAAAAAGTCAGCAATGTCACTTACAAAATGAACATGTACAAAGTAATAAATTCATCTGAGGCCATTGATAAACAATTTGAATATGTAATGAAACATATTTTAATTAAGACAGCAACAGGACATGTAGAATACCTCTTCCAAAAAGAAATACATAAAATTTATCTAAAGATTTTTTTCAGAATTACTTTTTCAGAATTTTTTTCAAACTCTTGAGAAGACATAAGATAGGACTCAGTGGGAAAACATGATATATTTCCAATTCAGAGATTTACTATTACAACATTTTTTATTTGGTCTGAGCTAATCTATTCATTTAATTCTATCATTCATTCTATTTTAGCCGAATAACCCTGGGAATACTTTTATGTTGCATAAGGGATAAGTTTCCTAAATGATTCTGAAAATCATCTGGAGGAATAAACTAAAACTTCTGGCTTCCAGTCAAGTCAAACTAGCTTGTTGCAGATCAAGCCTCCTGTCCACAATAAGTAGAAAAGCTGAGCAAATTTATAGCATCTAGAGAGGGCATCAGACAGAGCATTTCACAGTAGGCTCTGAAAGTGAAGAGGAAGGACAGAGAGATGAGCTTGATGTTGACTTTCCCCTCAAGACATTTGTCTATTTGCAAGTGAGGCCTAAGAGGCCATGACACTTGGGAGAGATTTAATGGTCTCACAGAACTAGGGGTGCAGGGCCCACTGAGGAGGAGAAGGAGCCATGACAAACTCAGCATGTTTAAAAAAATTTTTTTAAGTTTATTTATTCAAGTACTCTCCACACCCAACATGGCGCTCAAATTCACGACCCTGAGATCAAGAGCTGTATGCATTATCAACTGAGCCAACCAGGCACCCCTTCTTTAAAAAAAATTTTTTTTTAAAATAAACGCTACAAGATTTAAGTTGGGGCCTCCAAAGCACTACTCCCTAGAAGTAGGGGTGAGTAGAAAGAGAGCTTTCAAAAGGACGGACTGCCAGCTGCAACTCAGTTGCTCAACTGCTGAGTGGATTAAGATGTTTTTTTCTCAGGAACTGCCCACCAGAAGCCAGGATCTGACCTGGCACTGGTTCGCCTCACCTCACTCATCTCACCTCAGGCCTAACTCTGACAGATCTGAGCTATGTGTGATATTCTGACATTTTATTCACCATTGAGTTTTTGAATTAATTTTGAGTTTAAAAATACTTTTTGAAAGTCTGTTTATCTTGATGACTAAGGTTTTGGTGCCCCCTTAATTTGGTCTTGAGGTGAGTACCTCCCATTCTAATTTTTAGCTCTGAGTCCTACACTTGAAATTTGTGAATTTCACGGCATGCAAATAACTTAGTAAAGCTGTTACACACACACACACACACACACACACACACACACACACACACACAGAAAGAGAGAGAGAGAGAAATAGTTTGTTTTCACTAGCAATCGAGGAAATAAAAGTCAAAACATAAATACACCATATTATTCACTTAACCTTAATTTCAGATAAAGATTTCTTAGGACATCATTTGGCAAGAAGGTACTGAGACAGATGCTTTCAAAGTGTACTGATGGGTATATACTTTGGCATAACTTTTGGGGAAGCAAATTTAGCAATATTCATGAAAACCTTTAAAAGGTACATATTCTGACACAGAAAGATGGGTCTACAAGGCTGTCCTTAATGCCATTGTTTAGGCATGAAGGGGGGCACTTGGGATGAGCACTGGGTGTTGTATGTAAGTGATGAATCACTAAATTCTACTCCTGAAACCAATATTACCTTATACGTTAACTAACTAAAATTTAAATAAAAACTTGAAACAAACAAACACAACCAGACTGTGAAGTAGAAGCAACCTGAATATTTGAAACATGGCATAGGTTAAATAAGCCATGATTAGGCATCAGATGTAATAAGGTGAGGCCATTAAAATATTTTATAAGTGTACTTACTAATAGGGAATAGATGTTTTTTAAATGAGGAAAAGTCAGGTTTCAGAATATTACATACAGTAATTTTTAAGTGTATATTTGTAAACATGCTTAGAAAAAATATCTGAAATATTTGTACCAAAATATCAGCAGTACTTATTTCTGGATAGCAGATCAGGAATGACTGCTAAGGCTGACGGCTCTACCGTCAAACCTCTTGGATTTGCATCCAGCTTTCCTGCTCACTGACTGTATGTCCTCAGGCAAGTTTAAAAAACTTTCCGAACCTGAATTTTTCATCTGTAAGATGGGAATAATACCTAGTCCACAGAGTTATTGTCAGAATAAAATCCACGTAAGAGGGCTTAGCATAATGCCTGATATACAGAAAGTGTTCAGTTTGAACTAATACTTTTCCCATTTTTCTTGAATGAATACGTGAAAAGTTAAATATACGCCGTGATCCTTGTTCTCTCTTCACATATGGGTTTTGTAAAGGAGAGGGCTCATTGTCTCTATCACTGGGTAATTGCTTAAGATTAACACCTCTGTCGGTTATGCACACCTCCCAGAGAAACCCAGCCCTTTTGCTTGGATCTTCAAAGAAAATTGCTAAATTTCAGTCTGAGTCTAAAATATCAGGAGAGACAGAAATCTAGTTGAGATGAGGTCAGAAATCTCTTCCAGCATCTTTGCTGTGGTGGTTGGCCTGGTGCCCGGGGACAGAATGTATGGTGTTTTATGATTCGGGGCTTAAAATGGTTTTATTTTATTTTACTTAAAAAATTTTTTTTAATGTTTTTATTTATTTCTGAGAGAGAGAGAGAGACAGTGTGAGCAGGGGAGGGTGAGAGAGAGAGGGAGACACAGAATCCGAAGCAGGCTCCAGGCTCTGAGCTAGCTGTCAGCACAGAGCCCAATGCGGGGCTCGAACCCACAAACCGGGAGATCATGACCTGAGCTGAAGTCGGACGCTCAGCTGACTGAGCCACCCAGGCACCCCAATTTGGGGCTTATGATGGTTTTAGAGTCATTTACTTTTCTGAGACAGGCACGGGCCAGAACACAGCCTGACTCCCATGATGTGACGGAAGTCTCAGTGAACAAAGCACCCTAAGGTTCTATGCATCTGCCACTTTTCTCCTGGAGTGTGGCAGTTGGCAGCTCGGGGTTGTGTAGCACAATAGAGTTGTGTGTTGTAACAGATATGTATGAGCTGTATATGGTACTAGATGTGGATGAGTTGTGTATCATAACAGAAACAAGCCCTATAAAAAGTGGAAAATGGGAAAATTAATGATGGCTTATCTCCTCTGTTCACCGACAATTCTTGCTTTTTTCTCTACTCGATCCCTGGAATAAGATTCATCAGACATTCTAACCAAGTTTATTTGAGTAACCACAGTGAAATGCATCTGCCAGTATCTTGGTTTTCCTGTTCATATTTGTCAGCATTGCTTAATGACAGAGACCTCTTAGAAAGCGAAGATGATTTGTTCCATTTACTTTTTCTTTTCTTTCTTTCTTTTTTAACCATTTCCTAATTACGTTTTATGATTCTCTTTGCAGAGAATCTGGAAAGCATCAAAAAGCAAGAAAAAGAAGTCTTACATTCCCAACACCCAGAGATAGCCCTGGCATGTTTCTTCTTAGGATTCTTGCTTTACTTGCCATCTAGGTCATGTATCACAGAAGACCGCACAGATAGGTACTTATTACATATGCAGAAATGATGATAGTGGCCGGAAATCTATTACCCGTCTGCTTTTGTTGGTAACTTACTTGGTGATGCATGAGTCATGGCTTCTGTTGGGAGACTTTCAGTGCCCTCACTTTCCGTAGTTTCTTGAGAGGAACTGTAGCCTACAAAGACAAGTTGAGGAAATTACTTAAAATGTGCTTCCAAAAAGGTTCGTAGATGTTCTCAATAATCCTCTAGAAACCAAAGCAAAAAGAAATTCATCACAAGAATGCTAAATCTGGTTTGCCAATTTAAAATTAATGTGTGTCGGTTTTGAGGTACCATCTCTTGTTCCTTTCTTGGAGGAATCCTTTCCTAGGCGTGGCCTCCGTAGCCAGCACCTGACATACAAGTGCCAAATGAACAAATGAGTAAAGGAATTCAGGGATTGGGAATCAAATAATTTCAAGAGAACTTACTCTCCACTTGGCGAATGGCATCTGATAAATTTAGAATTAGAAATAGTGGCTTTAGGGGCACCCGGGTGGCTCAGTCAGTTAGGCGGCCGACTTCAGCTCAGGTCATGATCTTGCAGTCTGTGGGTTTGAGCCTTGCGTCAAGCTCTGTGCTGGCAGCTCAGAGCCTGGAGCCTCTTTCTGATTCTGTGTTTCCCTCTCTCTTTGCTCCTCCCCTGCTTGCTCTCTGTCTCTATCTGTCTCAAAAATAATGAACATTAAAATTTGAAAGAAAAAATAAATAAATAGTGGCTTTACCTGAAGATTCCCAGGGAAAGAAATATCATCTTTTCTTTCTTCCCCCTAGCCAAAGATGTTTAAACCACTTCAACTAATGAGTAAGGGGAGGGTGGAAGCTGCTCAAACACCTTTCCATTATTCCATTATTCCAGAGAATGTCTTTGGAGCGTTTCAGAAAATGCAAAGGTGATGGCAGGATTTGCACTGGGAGCCGTGGGGGGGTGGTCTTTGGGGTCACATGTCATTGGAGGCCTTAGTACACTATCCACTTGAGCAGTTGTAGACATGAAGCATTTATTTCTTCTCCAGGAATCCTTTCCAAATATCCCCCACCCGTCACCACAAACAAAACAAAACAAAACAAAACAAAACAAAACAAAACAAATGGGCAATGCCTCTAGTTCGATTGAGTAGGCCTCCTTTGCCCTCTGAACAACACAGTACCTCTTCTCTTTTTTGTGCAAGAGCTCTAGAAGTATTAGAATATATTTAAATATTATACCACATTCCTTCTGCTTATTTTTTTTTTCTTCAAGCTAAATGTTTTCATACTTTGCTACTTAAAAAAATTAGAGTAATTTTGTTAGTTTTCTGTTTTCCTGTAATTGTCCCATTCTCCCTGACTTCTCAGAAATCATTATCACGTATTCAGATTTGTTCCCTAGTCAGTAATTACTATCATAGCTAAATTATTTGCTAATTTACTATTCCTTTGTGTAGTCCCTATTTCATTAGTAGGAGGCAGGTACCAACATTGTGGGCATCTTATAGATGAAGACAGGGAGGTGAAAAGAGGCTCATTTGCCTTAATGTTCCCCAGACTTCCAGATGTGTAACCAGGTTTGAGTTTAGCTCTGTCTCTTCCTCATGTCTATGCTTTAACCATTATGCTTTTTTATCCACTAATATACCTTAGAAGATGCTGGCTCCCTTTTCTGTCTCCTAGAGAGTGCCCAGTAGATCCTTAGAATGTACTCCAATTTGAGTTAGAGCAATGTCTGTGGGCTCCATACATTTCAAGTAGCTGCCTGCTCGTTACCTATGTGCTGGGCACTAGTATTTCTAACGCATAGACTCTGCATTTGAGAAGACATTAACCATAACGTTCTCAGAAAGAGGCCAAAAATATTCCTAATTTAATACCAACTTAGTAATACTCCATGTTATTTCATCTTAATGGATTGATTTTGGTTTCTCCCCAAACTACCTAACACCTGAGCCAATAAGATGCTTTTTCTTTTTCCTCCATCATACCTCAGTAAAGGACCAAAGAGTGGGAAACAGCTCCCCAATGGATTCAGAGTTCATGCTTATAGCTTGTACTTTTTTGGCAGGCGAAGGAGGAGACTATAATTTTTCAGAAAACATTTTGAAAACTGAGAATTGGACATGCACCATCACTTTCATTAACAACTGTTTAATTTAGAAGTTAACCTCATTAAGAACAAATAAGGCAACAAATTTATTCACACAGAGATATTTCTCATAATATTTGATACAATTCTTTTCACTGTAGTTAGGCTTCGAACTGAAGCATGCTTCTCATACTGGAAAATTGTGATTCAGCCACAATTACGGAACTTCTTAACCCAATTCCCTCCACCTTACCAGCTGAGTCCCAATAGAAATCCATACACCAGACTAGGATCTGAGATACTACTCATTTATTTATTCATTTAAGTAAGACAGAACTAAAATCACGTAGTTTACATTTTAACCTATAATCTGATATCCAATATTAACAGCATCATGCTAAAAAAAAATCCACTTACCTGAGAATAGTAATACAGTTAGTATTATTATTTTTTCGTACATCCTGAGATCATGAGCTGGCTCTCAAAAGTCAATACCAGAAAACCACCAAAGACAACTGGAGTGGAAGTCCTCAGCCCCAGCTGGGACTCTGTTATCTTTCAGGCACACCTTTCTAAGGCATCAGTTGATAGGCCTGGGAGGCATTTTAAATTATGCAAATTTGTAAAACATCTGTCAATAAAGATATATGGATAGCTGCTTAACTGGGATTATTAAAGTGTTCAGTAAAATCCTCACTTCAGGGAACTGGCTGTTAGGTGTTAAATCTACTTTGCATAAATTAAGTGCGCACAGCAAGGCCATGGCCTCCGGAGCTGCCCATTTGAACGAAGAGGAATTGGACCTTGAAGGCTTGAGACTGGGGTGCTGTGTGAGGCTGGGGTAGCTATCAGGGAGCTAGAGACATTCTCATTTTTCATGTAGGTATTCTTGCGGGCCAGGGTGACGGTGACTTCTTACACATGAAATAAATGTATTGGAGAACTTACCTTACCACTGAGTGCTCGGGGGTTTGAAAGACCTGTCACACTCATGACAAGTCACACAGCAATATGAGAGTTTGTGAGACACAGGAAGATTTGAATTCAAAACAGTGTTTCAATTCAACAGCTAGTGCCCACATGGCTGTGGTCAGTGAGTCATCTCTCTCCAAAATATGCCTCACCAAGTAAGCATGAGTGAATGCCAAGGCAATAAATGCAAACACGCAAAAACAAAAACAGACGACCCCAAAAATCTTGTTGTAAGGCAGGTTAAAATGAGAGATATGGAAGGCTAAGGCAGATCCATTTTAAAGGGAGGCAGAAAAAAACCCCAATCATATGAATTAAATCTGAAACAGCTCAAAAGAAGGCGATCTCCTTCCTGTTAGAGCTGTGAATATCTTTCCTGCTTGACCCAGAAAATCAATTTGCTATGCCAACAATTTGTCAAATAAATTATATGTATATTTTTACCCAAAATGTGGTTAAGAAACCATTTAGGAAACTAATGGTTTGCAGCCTCAGGAAATGGAGCCACGGACAAAAAAAAAATCATTTACTGGGGAAAATATGGAGATAAACGTCAGCTAACATCCCAGAGAAGGGTTCTGGGGGATAGAGAAGGCACTGAGATGCAGGCTTGAGGGGCGACGAAGACTGAGGGACACAGAGGGGACTCTGAGGGACAGTGCAGGAATGTGAAAGCCCCAGAATCCTGAAGCCCCTCTGAAGGCTGTGCCAATTCATGCAAAACAATTACAGCAAAATTTACAAATCATTAAATGTAACCAATATTCAGTAAATGAATAACTTGCTTAATTTAGTATTTACTATGGCTGGATATCAGGTTGGGTTGCAGAAATTATTTTGAACAGATAGCCACATAAAGGAGATTTATTTTGGATATTAATATGAGCACAAAAAATTATGTCACATGGTTTAAAATTTTTAAGGATGGAACAATTAGCATGAGCTTTAAAAATGCTATTGCCCTTTGAAAATAGGAAAATAAGGAGCTCCTGGGTGGCTCAGTTGGTTGAGCATCCGACTTCTACTCATGATCTCATGGCTCATAGGTTCGATCCCCTGCATCTGGCTCTGTGCTGACATCTGAGAGCCTGGAACCTGCTTTGGATTCTGTGTATGTGTCTCTCTCTGCCCCTTCCCCACTCATGCTCTGTCTCTCTCTGTCCCTCAAAAATAAATAAATGTCAAAACCAAAAAAAAACCCCATAAGTAAATAAATTAGTCACTATCCTCACAATGGATTACTAAGCAGCTACTGAAACCATGTTTTCAAAAAATAAAATCAAATATTATTTTCAAAAACAGTTGATATAGAGACTCAGGATAGAAAGAGGTAAGAGGAAAATGGCAAGATCCAAAACTATATATAAAAATAAAATCCTGTTTGATTCTTTTTTTTGTGTGTGTGTGTGTGTGTGTGTGCTTGTTACCTCTGTCTGGAACACACTTACTGTCTTCTTACATGATCTGCTTCTATTATGCTTAGCATCTCAGTTTCAGAGTACTTCCTCTGGGAAGACTTTCCTAACTTCCTGCCTGCATCAGGGGCCCCAGTTCTGTACTCATATTGTACTCTGCTCTTCTCTTATCATAGGACTTAACACTTTGGTAAAATATGATCTGCACTGCAGTCATCTTCGTGTCCTCGCTGGACTATGAATTCTAAGTGTGCATATGCCTTACCTGTGGCTATTTTATTTGCCACCAAGTGCTTGGGGCACAGTTATTTGTCAAATCAATAAGTAACAAATAAATATTGCACTGCAGAGGAAAGCTATTTCTCTCAGGCAATCATGGGGAACAGAGGGGGATCTATCTATGTATCTATCTATCTATCTATCTATCTATCTATCTATCTATCTATCATCTATTTCCTAAGTCATATCTTAGTTTCAGGGCACTCCCAACATGAAGTCTTTCTAAGGCAGAAGGAGAAAAGGAAAATCAGTTTAAAACCCAGCCTTCATACCTTCTTCCACCTGGACTGACTGGCCTCTGAGAACACTTTTCTTCATGTGACCTCCTTCTTTCCTAGCAGATCACTTCATTTACCACTCTTGGAACTCCTATAGCACTTAGGCTAGTTCATTTGTTTTCTTGCATGATCCTTTTCATTATATTTGTAAGTCTTATCTCTCTTGTTCTACCTTCAGCATCTGGTGGAATACTCTACAGAGGCGGAGGGTTAGTCAGTAAACTGTCATCAGTGGTGGCCACCAGATGACAGAGGTAGCCACCTACATGAACATGAAGCCACAGGAAAGAAGTGGGTGCTTTGCCCTTGGTCACTTGGAAAGACTCGTTAGCCCTTAATAATGTGGGGAGCAGGGATTGACCTTGGGTCAAGTATGGGTTCGTAGCTTCCTTCAGGCAGATATGTTGACACTAGCTGGCTTGATTAAAGACAGGCAAAACCTCTACAGGTCTCAGTGTAGAACCTGGTGATCAGACCCAGCATTACGCACAGGGTGCGTGGAAAACTACAGTGACCTCTAGTGGCCTGTCTACATAATGGAAGGAAAAATGTGACGCCTGAAGATGCAACAGAAAAAACTATACATCAGATTACACTTCTCCCTTCCATGCGTTTCCCCAATCTTCTTAATATTCTTACTGAAATACATATTCAGGATCACCATGAAACCCTACCTGTAAGATAATCATGCAAAAGGGTCAGACAACTGTATATATCTTTTGAGTATTTTGAGTCAATGCCTAAAGTAAAAAACAAATACTTTTGAGACATTTAATCACACATGAAACCTTATCTCAAGTTCTTGGTACTAGATATCTTTAGGCTATTTTTTCTTGATTGTCAATGGCTCAGACGAAGGATGAATTATAATTTGGCAAAGTAGGAAAGTCAGTTTGGATCTATCAACCTAGCTCGAACTTGTTTCATTCCCCATGGGGGATATCCCTTTTTGTCAATTACTTACCTCCCAACTATTTCAGGATCAGACTGTCCCTAACGATGGCTGCATGATAGTCTGAGCTGCCTGTGGAGAAGTCTACTTTTTATATTTTGCATGGAGAACTGAGGAGGAGGGGACGGACAGGAGAGTTGAGACAGAGTGGCTTGCACTGTTGATCTCCTAAGGAGCCTCTTCTATTAAGGAAACTGCAGCCTGTTTTGCCAGAGCGGTTTCACTTCTGTCCTTGACCTTCTTTTGTTATTTTTTTTTTTTTTACAAATAGTTTATTGTCAAATTAGTTTCTACATAACACTCAGTGCTCATCCCCAAAGTGCCCTCCTCCATGCCCATCCCCCCTCCCCCCCACAT